ATATATATATATATATATATATATATATATATATATATATATATATATATATATATATATATAGCAGGCAAGACAACACACACCACAGAGGCAAAAAAACACAGCAACAGCAGCAACTGCAGCAGCAGCAACTGTAGCAACAACAGCAGCAGCAGCAGTAGCAGCAGCAACAGCGCAGCTCACAGTTTCGTATATGCAGCAGAGATCAGGAGAAGGCATGGGGGAGGTGCTGCTGATGCTGCAGCTGCGGTGGATGCCAGGAAGGGGAGATGCTGCTGCTGCAGCAGCAGCAGCAGCAGCAGCAGCAAACTCGCCGCGCTGCTCCTCTCGCTCCTCTGCTATTGTTCCTTCGTCTGTCTCCCTCTCTGAAGCTATCTCAGAAGCAGCAACTGGTGTTGCTGCTGCTGCTGCTGCTGCTGCTGCTTCTGTATCTGCTGCGGCTGCTGGAGGGCTTGCTGACCCCTGCAGCGGTNTGCTGCTGCTGCTGCTGCTGCTTCTGTATCTGCTGCGGCTGCTGGAGGGCTTGCTGACCCCTGCAGCGGTGTGCTTACGTTGGACTGCAGCTGCTGCTGCATTTCTTGCTGCTGCTGCTGCTGCTGCTGCTCTTTCTGCTGCTGTTGTTGCTGCTGCAACTGCTGTACAGGAGACGAAGCAGGAGCGTTGCTGCTGCCTGTCTCAAGCTGTGCTGCTTTGTTTACCTCTGCTGCAGCAGCTGCTGCTGCTGCTGCTGTTGCTGCTGCTGCTGCTGTCTCTTCCTGCCTTTCATCAGCGCTATCGCCCGTCTCTCCCGCTGAAACTTCTTCTGTGCTTGTCTTGCTGGTCTTATCCTCTCCCTCCTCCTCATCTTTCTGCTGTTCTTGCTGCTGTTTGTGCTCCTGCTGCTGCTGCTGCTGCTGCTGCTGCTGCTGCTGCTGCTGCTGCTGCTTCTCGTTCTCAGCTGCAGTCTGAGCACTTAACTCCTCCTCGCTATTTTCTGCTTCTTCCTGCGGATTGCTGCTGCTATCCAGCCGTTTTTCATCTTGTTTCTCTTTGTCTTCATTTTCTGCAGCAACCTCCTGCTGCTGCTGCTGCTGCTGCTGCTGCTGCTCAGTGTTTGAGCTGGTAGCAGCAGCAACATCCTCTGCTGGGGCGAGGGCCTCGTCAGAGTTGCTGCGGCTGAGGGGGGGAGAAGAGACTGGCCCCTCTTCAGCATTGTCATTTGCTGCTGTTTGCTGCACTGCAGCAGCAGCAGCAGCAGCACCAGCATCAGCAGCAGCAGCAGCTGCAGCAGGTGCAGGGGCCCCTCCCCTGTTGCGGCGGTGGCCGTTGTTCTTTCTTTTGGCTGGCATTTTAAGCAGCAAATATGAATCAAATGAAACAGAAATAAGAAGAAGATGAATATAAAGTGAGGGTTTAGGGTCTAGGGTTTAGGGTTTAGGGTTTAGGGTTTAGAGCCGGTGGAGACCAACAGCAAGCCAAAGATGAGAGGGGAGAGGGAGACTGGTAGCAGCGGGCGTAGAGAAGGAAAAGAGAAAAAACAAAGAAAATAAAAGAGGTGTAATAAACAACAAACCCAAACCTCTTTCTTTCTTTTATTGTGTTGCAGTGCAGCAGCAGCAAAGGAGGAGGAAGCAGGGAGCGGAGACCGCTGGCTGCTGCTGCTGTGGCCGTTGCTGTGTACAGCTAGGCGTTTCTTTCCGTTTTTTTCTCTGCGTTTCTGTGTTTTTAATGTATTTAATGATTCAAATAAAAACTATTTCATGTATAATTAACAATAAAGAGGTCTAAATACACCAGAAACACCGCCTCCTCCTCCCCCTCTCGAGAGAACAGCTGCATATACACCCCACAGGCTCACTCACCGTCACTTTCTTTCTCTGTCACCCCGAGACTGTACAGCTGAATAAGAGAGTAAAATGGAGTAAATGAAGTATATTTATATGAAAACTTCTTCTTTAATTTTGTTTATTAATATTTTTTAGCCAAAAATACAAAAAAAAGAAAAAAAAATGCAAAAAGAAGAACGGACCAGAGAGGATGTTTGGCGGTGGTTTCAGCTCCCCGCCGGAAATATTCATATTTTGACCTAAAATTTGAATTTTATTAGAGATAATTTATTTTAATTAAATAAACAAATATATTTAAAACATAAATGTGCATAATAAACAAACACCACTCTCCTGCATACTTACACTGAGTCGACGAGGACGCACACAGAGGCTGCTGAGCATCCCCTGCAGCTAGGAAGAAGCTAAAGACGGCAAATTAAATTTTATAAATTAATTTAATTAATTTAATTAATATAATTTAATTAAATTAATTAAAATAATGTATTAATTTAGTCAATTGACCCACAAATTCACGAAACATAAAGTTGAATGCAAAGAAGAATACATGGCTAGGGAGGGTCCTGCCAAAGCCCCAGCGATCAGGGGCCCCCAATTGCTGCTGCATGCGAAACCTTTGTCTTTTTTTTTGTGTATTTTATTTGTTTTAATATATTTTCAAACGCATGCAGATGAGAAAGGGCAATAGATGAGTCTCTGCTGTCGCGGCGGCGCAATGTGGTGTTGTAGTGATCTTGTTCGGTGACTCCGGGGGGGCAGCAAGCTGTTGAGCGAGGTGTATATACACCTCAGGATACCTGTCATTCATCCTGCTGTATGTTTTATGCATAACTGAATTTCCCTCTCCTTCTCTCCGCCGTCTCGCCGCCATCCTCTGGCCTCTCTCACTTGGCCTGCGCTTCAGCAGCAAGGAGCTGCTGCTCTTGGTGTTGCAGAAGGTTGTGTGTTTTTCTTTGTTTGTCTTTCACTCGTTTTACATTGCTGCAGTGCAGCATCAGCGCGAGAAGATGTCCGGGCCCAAAGCTGTTGTTGTGTGCGCCTCTGCGTACGCAAAGATGGTATCGCATGCACTGCGACACCACCAGGAAAGAGTCTGCGGTATTTTAGTTGGCCCCGGTGATTCCTCCGTAGTAAAAAACCAAGAAGTAATATGCACAGAGGCTGTGCCGCTGTTGCACACGCACATGCTGCACCCGCAGCTGCGGCTGGGAGTTGAACTGGTACGCCCCCGGCCGCAGCCCGCAGCCCGCAGCCCGCGATCGTGTAGATTCCCATGAACGAAAAAGCTTTAAACACTTTTTTTCGTGTTCTCCGTCTGAAATTAAGTAGAAATTATTGAATATAATATGAGGTTACCGGCGTTTTCGTCGTGGATCGCGCGCTGTGTTGCAGGTTGAGACCCTCTGTGAAGGGGGGGTGACGGAGGAAAGCGGCGAGTTTTTCGCTGCTTTTCGCGAAAATAAATGGACAAAGCCGAAAATTGTTGGAATTTATTACGCAGATGTCCTCACAACGGCAGATAAAACGCCAACCATGAACAAAGAGGCATCGCATATTGCACGCGTATTGAGGCAGCACTACCCTCAACTGGTAGTCTGCCTGGTGCGTGAAAACACATTAAAAAACTTTAAAATAAAAAGATCGTTTCAATATATATATGTTTTCTTTGGTTTTATTTATTTTTCTGCCGTATTTCCATTCATAAGTCGGCGGAGGGGGCAGATATACTTGCTTTCTTTGTGCTTTCGTTGAGCGCTTTCTGTATTGCGGTTGGGGTGTATGTGCAGCTGGATTTCAGGAGGATGCCCGAGTCGAAGCCAGTAACAACAGTAAGAAAGCTGTCATTTAATTTGCTTTAATGAATTATATATTTATATTAAATTAAATTTGTTTACTTCCCCGAAAAAAAAACGAAAGAATTCCACCAATTCCTACAGCAGCACTGCCGAAACAAGAAACCCTGAGCGTCTGATTCAAAGCATCTGTTTCCTTCGATTAAATTTCGTCTTTTATTTATTTTAATTATTTTATTTTGCGTGTTGTTTTTCTTTTTTTTTAACAGTTTTGGAGTTTTGGAGCCACCAACTGGACAGCTGTTCCTACAGAGGCTATTCACGTTTCAGACGCCGCGCAAGAACTCGCAGCGAAAACTGTGCAAGAGCACACGTAAGAAATAATATATATATATATATATATATATATATATATATATATATATATATATATATATATATATATATA